GTGGACGTCACAAGACATTATACAGACAGGCTCTGGTATCATGGCTACCCAGCAATGGAGCTCAAAAGTGTGGGATCTTTTTAAGAAAATGAGAGAGAAACCTGTGTAATATCTGCAGAGCAGAACTTGCCTTCCACAGCAATTATTTTTAGTTAGCATGTAACTAAAATCTAACCATGGTTATATAATAGCAGCTGCATTCTGGCGCGATAAGCTCTATGTTTCTTATTCAATTAACATATGATCCGATTAGTCGACTAATCGAATAAATAATCGGTGATTAATCGTTTATTAAAATAATCATTTGTGGCAGCCCTATCCTCGAGGGCCTCTTTCCTGCATGTTTTACTTGTTTCTCTGCTCCAACGCACCTGATTCAGTGACTGAATTACCTCTTCAAGTTCTGCAGCAGCCTGTTCATAACCCATTCATTCAAATCAGGTGTGTTAGAGCYGGAAAACCTCTAAAACATGCAGGTTAGAGGCCCTCCAGGACCAGGATTGGACTCCACTGGACTAGCATTTAGTTGAAATAATTAATTTAAATTAGAAGCTGTTGTTTGACACCACTTTTTCCAGTCCTAGCAAGAACCTACAACACCAAACATGAAGRATCATCCCAGCAGGAGACGCAAGCTCTATGATAATAACCCTTTTTTTTAAATAACAAACTGAAGGCTGGTTTATATTTCACACATTCAGGATATAGCTCTTAATGAAGTCTTCATCTTGGAATATGTTATCAAATAAAATGTGTGTGCTTTGGAATACATTGTAGAAATGTTATTTCACTTAGAAAATATTTTCTCTTTTTTTTAACAAATCCCTATTAAAGCATAGGCTAAATACAGCACTGTGCAAAAGTCTCAAGCCACCCTTCATTTTATTTAATTTTTTTAACACTATGCATGAAGGAGCCAGAGTTTTGTTAGTTAAATGGGCCTTGATCAGCAGTTCAGGCTTTTTGAAGGTTTCTTGAAGTTCATCTTTACACTTTGGACATATTTTCATTGATTTTCAGTCCAACACTGACTGTTTGATTACTTTGCTACTTAATTTTGACTAAATAATTCAGGCATAAWAAAAGACTCTTAAACACAGGGGATGAACCAGTGTTGTGTCAGCAAACAAAATAAAATAGCAAGTTGACAATTTTGAACAGGATCTTTGGGCACTTTGTTACCAGCAGTCTGTCACAGACACAGTCTGTTCCTGTTTTTGTAGTTGAATCTATGACAAATAACCCAAAATAGCACTTTTTGACGTGTTTAATATGATTTCCAAAGAGCTATCAAGCTATCAGGTGATAACTTGACACACATGATCAACTGAAGGATGACGCACTCTCCGGCGTCAGGTCTTTGCGTTTTTCTTATTTCTATTTCTAAGCCATGACTTTCAAACTTTCTTCCTCTGCTGTGGATGACACTTCTTTGTTTGTCCTGCACTTTCTAACTTCCCTTATTTTCTTTTTCGAATCTCACACTGTGCCATATGCTGTCATGGTTGGGTACAAGGACTGGACAGAAAACGAGTGAAAAACTGTAGTTCTGAAAAACTAAATTCCAGTAAGTCTGGCTGGTTTAAAACATTTCTGAATTCTGTAAATAGAGCATAACTACAGCGTTTATCTCTAATTTACTTAACAGACAGGAAAGAGATGCTGGTTCCAAGGTAAGAGAGAAATCTTTTTCCCTCAAGATAAAAGCAACTTTATTCCTGTAAAATAAAACCTTTGGTATTCAGAACTCTGTTATTTAAACTGTTTAAACATGGGGGAAAAAAAGAGGCCATTTCATCTGATCCCATCTGAAGTGCTACTACAGCTCACTTCAGTTCCAGCCACTTTAACAGGACATCAGTGTTATACCTCACTTAATGAACCATCGGATCCCACGTGCACCGTGCTCCTCTCTGTCACCATCATAAAGAAGATGCCTGAATGAAGCTGTGAGGCAAACTAATGCAGCGTTTTAATGCCAGACTGAATGCCATCGCTACAACAGACTGATGAAACCTTTATTGTTCTGTACGTATCTCTGAAAAGACACGATAAACYAAGGTCTCTTCAGCTCAGGGGTCATAAGCAAAAGGTTGCACATTAGAGCACTCATACACAAAGTCGACAATGAGCTGTCAGGAATGTCTGCGGGGTCGGTGAACGTCTGGCTCTCTTGTCTTTTCGGTGTAACGCACCGTCGGCTCTGTTAAAACCCGGTCAATGATTTATTTATTTATTTTGATTTTTTTCCCAGCCGATCCAACGAGTTGAATCAGTGTTGGGTCTCTCAATGAGAGAGCTCCACCTGATTGGCTGTTCACTGTAATGAGCTTTACTTAATCTGAAATATTAAACTAATTACGYACCTGTTTGACGCAAACATGAACCCGTTTACCTTTTTATTTTACTGAATAATGTATAAACTCTGCTTCCTTGTGCAAAGCAACTGTACGTCCTCTGGAGCAGGAATAGCCTGTGTGACGGATGTTGGCAATTAGATATTGTCTCTGTGTTGTGTTTAAGAGCTATTTTTATGCTCGGATGTTGCTGTCCTAAGGAGACGCAGCAGGGGGGATTTTTTTTCAAAGCTGGTTCTTGACGTCAGATTTAAAGCAAAAAAAAAAAAACTTGCTGCGTCATAAGTTGAAGACTGTAGTAAGAGTACTTTCTATTGTTGATTGGTTATTTTTTAATGCCCATTTAGAAAAACTATCATCAAACAGGCATCCAAAACCTATAGCATTGCTTTATTTACTTACTCCCGTCAATTATCTCTTAACGGGGCAATATCATGTAAAATCAACTTTTTTGAGTTTTATATCATGTTATAATGTTATACTCTCATTAAAAAACATGTCCAAAGCCTTGCTTTGACTAATCCATGCACGTTTGAGAAATCCTGCAGCGTTTTTAGGCAGCCATGCTGAGGAGCAAAACGACAGGTGGGGACCAGAAATGCCTTTTGGGACCAGAAACACCCCTGGGACGTGTCTTTAAGCTGAACTTCCTCATCACGGAGCACACCTCCCCACCCCCCACACCACACACCCCGCCCATGACTCCTGCAGGCTCTCGGCAGTAACAGAGCAAACTGAAAGTGAAACAACTGTCTGCTGCTTTCAACACTATACTTCACACTCAGTGAAGCTCTTTTCAGGTTCAAAATACCTTTGAGGAAATGTATTTTCAGATGCCAAGTAAACTGCATCATAGCGCATGCGAGAAACCCACCCCACTGAAATGGGTGAGACAGAAGCAGAAGGTGGTTCTTAAAGAGACAGAGCCAATTTCAAGGCTTTTAGAAGAGGAAGTGATGAGAAAATAAGTTTATTTTCTATTTAAACATAAAACAGCGTTTTAATAACAACTAAAGGTGACATAGATACTTTATTATGGTAAAGTATTTAAATATATGCCTGAGAAACACATAATATTGGCCCTTTAACTCAGAGGGAAACAGAAACAGTACGAGCAAAATGTGCAGTATGTTAAGATAAATAAAAAAGGTGCAGAAATTAAAATAGATTTTAATGTCTATATCAAGCTTATTCATATAGCACATTAAAAACAACAATAATAATAATAAAAAACAACAAAATCTGACCAAAGTGCTTTACATTTCAGTCAGTTTTAGTTTTTATCATTTTAAAAATAAGCAGAAGACTACAGCACATTCTCCAAAATCATGTGGGTGCTCGTTTGCATGTTTATAAAAACAGAACCCTAAATAGCTTGATGTGGAAAAATTAATGCAAACTAACTGCTGATGCAAAAACAGTTAAAGAAGACTGGCACCAAACTATAACTGCTGCTGCAGAGATAACTCGAGATGATGTCAGCTTTAGGTTTTCCAGTAATGTTGCAAAAAAAAAGTGAACCATTTAAAAAAAATGTCTGGCTCTTGAGTTTTGTGCAYTAAGTAAGAAAAAAAGTGGTGTAAATCTGTCTTATTTTTGTTCATTGTACAAACATGGAAATAACTCATCCACATCCAAACTAGAAAAATCCGTTACACGAGTTTGTCTGGAAGGCAGCAACAAACATGTAAGGTTGTTTATGTTCTTAAAGTATTGCATAGAAGAGTTGCTACTGTAGCTTCCACTTTCTTTCTATGTAATCTAAKTGAGCCACAGATTATTTTCAGTTTAAAGAAACATATCAAGATGTTAACAGGTGGTGCAGTAAACAAAAAACGAATGAGAGATCRGGTTGTAATCTACTTACCAGCTGGAACTCTGAGCGCCGGGCGTAGGCCTCCTGTATGCCGGCATCTGCCCAGAGCGCGCTCAGCGCCATCACGTACAGCTGAAACTCACCGGGTTCCACCCCGGAGGCGCCCACCCGTCCCTCCCACGACATCACCAGCATGCCCTGCTTCTCGTTCTCYCAGCCCTGCCAGCTGATGCCCAGCTTGTCCCGGGCATCCACCAGCACACGCATGCCCTGCGGACACAAAAACGTTGCGCGCGATCAGAGCAGAGAAGCAACAGCTGCTTTTTCTTTGAGTCAGCAACCACACATTAAATCACACGTTTAGATAAACAGGCATAAACAAGGGAGCTTTGGTGTTTATTCGAGCAGGGTTTTGTGACGTTAAGAGGTTATGCCGGTGTAGATTCTCGCTCATCCAGGACACAGTAAATTTTCTATTCTGCAGAAAAGAAGCCCAGTTGTTGGGAGGATGGGGCTTTTGTGCTTTATATCARGTTATAATGTTATTCTCTCATGAAAAACATCCCCAGAGTGTTGCTTCGACTCATTCATGCATGTTTGAGAAATCCTTGAATCTCCTGTGGTAGCCACGTGGAGCTGCCTAAACACTTGCTGGTACAAAGCTCCGCCTATTTCTACAAAGCTCCTCCCTGATCTGCAGCCATGCTCCGGCCCCCACAGAGCACACATCCTCCAAAGCATTATTGTGAAGACATGCTGCAGTGGAAGTTTCAGAAACGGTAGGATGTTCTTAAAGAGACAGAAGCCAACTTCAAGGTGTTTAGATGGACTATGATGCAAAGATGAATTTATTTTTGACATATACAGCATTTTTTTTAACAAACATAATAACAAATTGCTTGATTGTGGTGTAGACTTGAACTATGTGCCTGGAAAATACACAACATCCCTCCTTTAGCTTGTAAAGGAACAATAGCAAATATTCTCTCACTGGCTAACTTTTTTTAATTGTTACATGTCTGACTAACAACAACAACAAAAACAAACAAAAAAATAGATTTTTGAAGTGCATTTATAAAAGTTTATTCAACTGGTAAGCCCAGGGCCACATCCAGCCTGTGGGTGGGCTCAGTCCGGCCCACAGCAGAGTTTCTTTAAAGAAAACTAGATTTTAAATCAGAGAAAAAAAAATCTGAAATTACACATATTTTCATCTGTGAAGTGGTCCTGGAATACAGATGATCTACGACTTTACAGCTCAGCCTGCCTCAGTAAGCCTTTAAATTGTAAATTACATTTACGTAATGACAATAATTGCCGGATGTCCGACCCGAGTTGTTGCTTTCAGTAACTGAAGCCCTGTAAACATTTTAGTTGAGCAGACCTGCCATAAACTAATTCTTAATGATCCCCTAGTTCCGTATTGTTTCTTGCAATGTGAATAATTTAGTCTTTTAACATCATCTTAAAACAATAATCCAACAAAATTACTGGTCTTTTTAGAATAGACAGAAACAATTGTGAACAACATGGAACTCTGGTCTTGGTGGGTGCATACATGTGTGTTTAGTCTCCTCCAATGACTCACAACCACCTTATCTCTTTGCAATGTCAAGTCGAGTCAAGTTTATTTGCTCAGTTTAATCTCACATTCAATAGGCTTTACACACCCACAACATCAACACCACCTGATTCAGTTCAACCTTTTCCCTGCAGTTTAGGGAAATCCTCTCTAAAACCTTCCCAAACAACCCGAGAAGGAATAATTCAAAGAGAGATTTCCCTTTTAAAGACGGATGGATGTGCAAACCAGAAGTGTGTGTCTGTGTGCGCACACTCTAACCGGGAAGTCCTTTATGATTCATGGGTGTTGTGTGCTTTTAAGCTAATCCCACAGCCAAGAGCTTTTTGTTCAATGTGAAAGTGTTTTAGTTTTCAAGAATAAATGAGATGGATAAAAAAAAGAGAAAAAAACTCAACAAGTGAGGAAATTATGCACTTGAGTTTATGGCTACAAAAATGTGACACATATGATGTTGGTCGTAAAAAAAAAAAATCACTGATGCGGTTCATGTTAGCAAGCARTGAGTCACATCCAGACTGCGGTCTTTGTTATTCTCCGTCTGATCACATGCCCCTTATTGATTTACTAATCTCAACAATCTGTTGCATAATCCCTCATAGTGATGTCTGGCTCTCTTCCTGCGCACYTGTTCCAATGGCTGTTCGGTTTCCTGTTGGTTAGAGGCTGTCTGTTCCTTTTGTCCTCCTTTCTCCAGTTGAGAAGTATTCCCAAACGTCAATATGAACAAGTTGACCTTACGGGGACAATCAGGTGATCGCAGTCAGGAAATATCACATGATTGGGTCACATTTAGCCAGTGATGCATCTGTACTGAGGTGGTCTTGAGCAGGATAAACCGAACAGGTTTGATGTGCTCGTTGTTCCCGAATATGAACACTCTACTAAAATACACCCAGAAACAGGTGCTTTCTATATCAATTTTATTCCTGACTTTTATGCAAACTGGAGGAAAAAAATGATCACATTATTAAAAGATAGGGTTATAGATCAACGATACACAGTACAACAGCGTACCACCYCTTCAGAGTCTATTAATCCCGAAGAACCTTTTCTATCAAACAAGGGATTTGATTTGTTAGACCTAAACTTGACCTCCACTTTTCCCATTTACTCCTATTTCTTACTGCATTACTGAACAAACAACTTAATAAAACTGATTTATGTCCTTTTGGTGTTCTTTGTGGGACTGAGTTATTTTCCACTTCTAAATCACACTAAAATAAATAAAGAAATCCTGCTTTAAAAGGATTTGGTGTTTGAGTTGGTTTTCCCACTGATCTGTGCTTTCTATKAACCCAACTTTGAACCATGCTTTGCCCTGATTTTAATTATTAGATCAGGGGTGCCCAGACATTTTCCTCGAGAGGGCCAAAATGAAAATCTATCCGTTGCTGCGGGACCAATGTGATAATATAATACATGAAATACAAATACTTTTTAATTAAAGTCCATTGTTTTTAATGATTAAGCTAGCAGCCAGTGTGGTGGCCCACTTTTGTTTTAGTCTGTCCATTTGGAGAAAGTCTGCCATACTCTCAAGCAGCAAAGGCTCATGGAACATTTCATAAATTGATAAAATATGAGTTTTTGTGGCCTTATAAAGTGTACAAATCTACATGTGTGGTTAAATCTAAGCTAAATATACAGTATCTTGGTGTTCCATGTATTTCATGTTTGATGTTTAATCCTAATATATCAAATAGAAAGTCAACCCCATGAGTGAAATCTCTGCACTACAGCCTCTTATACTCACTGGAGCAGTGGATAAATAATGACTTTAGGTGTAAATACTGTTACTTCAACGTCAAATAACTTTATTTATCCTAAAAGGGCAATTCAGTTCACAACTCTCTGGTCAACATGACATGACAGCAATACATTCTCATACAGTCTTATACAATCATTTCAGCATCAGGAAAAGAAAGAAAAATACTGCTTATGTATGAAAAGAAACGATTACTTTCTACATAGTACAACAGGTTACAACCTACTAACCATGGCAACTGCCGGTGGGCCAAATGAAATGGRTTGGAGGGCCAAATTTGGCCCGCGGGCCCCACTTTGGGRTCCTCTGTATTAGATGCACAAAGTACAAAGCAAACAAGATTTCTACCGAGGTTTAGGTTGTTTCGTTCATGTACCAGTAGTAGCCCTGCGTGTCAGGGCACTGAAGGCTGGAAACATAAATATCTAATGTCTGAAATGATGATTTCTCACAARCCTGACCTGATCAGCGCCATTAGGAGCAATTATCTTCAGCAAATGGCAACAACTGAGTTCTGTTGCATTAGTCACTCCATGGTAATTATTAAGCAGATCTCTTCCTGTGTTAATGCTGCCGACGATACAACGCAGGCGTTTTGCCGGCAGGGAGTCCACATGAAGGATAGGACTCTGAGCGACACCGACAACAAAAACTGAGCACCTTTTTCTGCCACTTAAATACCAGAGCTTCACCAAATAATTCAAAGAATGTCAAGGAAGTCAGCGACAGATAAATGAGGGTTGTCAGAACTGTGAGATAAGATAACACACACTTTAAGGAAGTGGAAAAACACTAACCTTGTGCTTGGTAGTATTTATCTTTACTCTAGTAAAGAGCCACAACTTGTAAGTTAGAGGACATGTTCAAGTAATCCAGCATCAAACTCGTAATTGCCAGCACGTTTTTTTATTTTTTAAGTTTGACTTCATTGTGTGAGAAACAAATGGTTGTGCAAGGACAGCGGATGTATAATTACAGAGAATCAAAGAGAAGGGACACATCCTCTATGATTTTTATCCTCTAAAGCCAAATATGTTCTCCACCTGTGTGTTCGCTGCCAGCTTTATCCCTCCTTCCTCTCCTGCTTTGTTCTCATCCTCTGTCATTAGYTTCCCATGAAAGGTGGGGATATTCTACACCTGGCAGGTGAGACTGATCCTCCACCAACAATCCTAACARCCAACAAAGGATTAGCCACAACTCCTTGTTATGTGTAATTACGAAATGCGCGTTTATATTTTGAGCGGTGGGATAAAAGAAGCTAAAAACAAGCAGGTAGCACACACCTGGAACAGGACGGTTGGCTAAGCTCAATATATTTCTCAATACATTAATAAAAAAACATGTCTGCCTAAAAGTTTTTTTTTTTAACTAAAAACAACTAATTATCCAACTTGTGTTTTTAGTTAAAGGTGTTTAATTTATGCTTAGACTTGTTCATTTTTAAAAATATATAAAAATTAGAAGCTATGTTGCTTGACCTCAGGAAGATTGGTTTGTGTCTTTCTGATGAGTTTGGACGATGTTACAATGTTTCCTGATATCACAAAGTGTGTCATGATACAGTTTTGATTGGGCATATGATATCAATCCACATKGAGGATATGATGATGATATGGATCGATGTTTTCATTTTGCCTTGATGTAATTAAATCGTTAATCATTTAATCGATGTTAAACCCCTATCACCTGCTAATTTCAACAATGGGACTTTCATATTTTGTTAGCGTGATTTATTCTYACATGGTCCACAACCAACTACTTTAAGTCAACTTCCTGTCTGTTTCAAGATACTTTTTACTTTGGGAATTTCTCATCTTGGTTTAGCACAAACAACAAAATACAGATATAGTTAATACTTTGRGGAGATTCGCAAAACATCAACACTGTATTTGCTTTACATTGACTGTGGTAACCACTTTATTTCTTTTTCTGAAAGTCAAAAACTGAAATTATTTATTCAACAGAATAATTAGTAACTGAGCCATCTATCTAACAGTGATCTGACTTATAGCAAAAAACAAATTAGAATAACATAAACTTGCAACCTTAATATATTAGCTATTATCTCATCATTTTGTCAGGATGACGGACAAATGAGTGAATGAATTTCTTCACCTCACATGGACCTCACTGCTTGTAAATGAACACTTTCTGTGCAGTACACGAGGACACGTGTGAATCTCAGAGATGCCAAGTTACTTGATAAAACTGTGATTTAGGACTGGAAAATAAAAACAGCTTGGTTCATAACTCTGTAAAAAAGGGAAAAAACTCACAGGTAGCTAAACAATAGAAGATCTCTCAGAAAAAATAGACACTTTTCGATTTTGTCTTTTGCATAACAAATAAATTTAAGTTTCCAGCATAAAACGTATTAAAACAGATATGTTTTAAGATAAAAAACAAGTTTGCTCAAGACTTCTTAAACATTAAGTGAACCAGAGTTTAAAACTGAAAATGCAAAGAAAATTTCTATAAAACATAGAAACGGCTTTTTTTGCATCTTTATTTAAAACCAAATGAATAATCAAAGACTGAAGCAGAACCGTTCAGCCTGTGGTCCAATCCAAAACCCTCCTCTGTGATGGTACAGAAACAAACTCACACACATCCACACAGCTAATGTTAAACAATATGCAGGTTTCGGAAAAACAAATGTTGCCACTAGCACAAAATTTTATTGCCTTTTTTTTAAAGGACTTGCTGAGTTCAGCAAGACAAAATGCCAAACCACATAAGCATAAAGTGGAAAAGTCTGTGTGCTGAGCTGCACCTCAAACTTTTACATATTCTGCAATGAACACAAAKAAGTAGAAACATGTTGCATTTCAATGAGCATATTTTTTTTATCTTAGTGTTATTTTAGTTCATCTGCAGCAGAGTTTTGTTTATCTTTACAGAAATCATGTTTGTATTTTTAAAGAACCTCAAACACTCGTATGTGGATAAGGCGACTAGTTCACATTGGATTGTAGGTAAGTGTGCGTGTAGGATTGTTTTCGTGATCTGGCTGCAGACAGAAGCACCTCTTGTATMTGGGGCAGGCTTGTGAATGATGTCTTGTCTGTGTTGGAGTGAGGGCTCTCTTATCCTCCTTGTCTGGGCTGGGTGGCACTCAGGGCGGATGTGCTCATCCCTCAGGAATAGTCTGGTATTGTTAGCTGCTGAAGGAGGCCCAGCCATGGCAGCAAACAAAGGGACAGCGCACACACACACACACACACACACACACACACACACACACACACACACACACACACACACACACACACAC